TTGCATCAATTTGAAAATGTAACAGAATGTGGAAAACATCCTGAGCTTATTTATTGTATTTAGCGTCCTCGTAGATGTTTGTTTTTTCTTTACTACAATATGGTTTGGCTCCTATAAAAAAAAAAAAAATCAGGATCCATTCACACAAGACTTGAAAAATCCCTGGCATCTAAAGTGCTATGAAGTCACAAAAATGCCAGAGAAAGAACCAAGAGGTCAGAGACATTTATGCCAAATATTTTGTATTTTTTTTGTACAATCAAAAAAACAAAAGCAAAAAATATCTGGCACATGACACGAAATACTTTACAAAACGTGTATATATATATAATAAATCATTCAGCAACTCACTCAAAAACAAATATAGAATGGTATTTACATTTTTTGTAAACTCAAGTATCAGAAGGGTATGGACTCTTGTTTTTGAGTTTTACATCTAAAGTATTTCTTACATTCAGAACAGAAAATTTTTATTCTCCTGTTTTCTGGTGGGTTGCCAGACTTCAGTCATGGCAAAAACATTTTTGGCATTCAAAACATGGAATATGTTTCTCTCCTGTGTCAATTAGCTGATGGGATGCAAAACTTTATTTACTGAACATCATTCTTCACCCTTGAGTAATGGAAATGTGTCTCTTGCATATGAGTTGTTTAATGCATAACCAGGCTTAAATTTCTGATAAACAAATTCCCACACTGTAAACATGGGAAAGTTTTCCCTTCGGTGTGATCTTATACGATCAGAAATAGGAGGAAGATGGGGGTTGTGTTGACATTCAGAACACAAGAAGATTTTTCCTTTTGTGAATAAGCTGATGGTTTCCAAGGGCTGATTTACTGCTATAACATTTACCACATTCAGAACATGAGAAAGGTTTCTCTCCTGTGTGAGTTATCTGATGTCTAACAAGCTTTGATTTAGATGATAAACGTTTCCCACATTCTGAACATGGAAAAGGTTTAACTCCGGTATGAATACTATGATGTCGAACAAGATTTGATTTCTTTTGAAAACATTTCCCACATTCAGAACACAAGAAATTTCTCTCTCCAGTATGTGTTCTTTGATGAGAAACAAGATTTGACTTACTGTTAAAACGTTTCTCACATTCAGAACATGAAAAAGGTTTCTCTCCTGTGTGAGTTTTCTGATGTGTAGCAAGATTTGATTTCCTTTGAAAACTTTTCCCACATTCAGAACACAAAAATTTTTTCTCTCCAGTATGAATTCCTTCGTGTGACACAAGATTTGATTTACTCTTAAAACATTTCCCACACTCAGAACATGAAAAAGGTTTTTCTCCTGTGTGAGTTTTCTGATGTGTAGCAAGATTTGATTTCCGTTGAAAACATTTCCCACATTCAGAACAAGATAATTTTTTCACTTCTTTGTGCGTTCTTCGATGAGATCCAACATTTTTCTTACTGTTAAAACATTTCCCATACTCAGTACATGGGAATTTATCTCCTGTGTGAGTTCTTTGATTAATAAAAAGGCAATATTTAATGGGGAAATATTTCTCCCATTCAGAATATAAGAAATGTTTCTCTTCCACAGTTATTATTGGAGGTGTAGACATATAAGAATTTGAGGAAATTAATGATTCTTCACAAATTCTATGAGATTTCTTCACATGCTTGATTAGTGGATTCCTGTGACGTCGTGCAGAAGATCTTCTGTTTAAGGACTCAACTGCAAAAAGATTACGAAAAGTTAATATTTAACCATACGTTTTCTTTAACTCCTTAAGGAAACATCTTTAGAAGGATTCCATCATGTGTCCTTAAGAGATAAATGACTTCTTTAAACAGAAGATATAACAAATCCATACCATAATACATTTTATATCTCGTTCGTCTTTTCTTGCAACTACTCTTTGTAGTAAAAAGAAGAGCACTCTAGGGGATAGTGCATGGATACCAGGAGCTGACTTGTGAAAATAACTTAAAATCTGATAAAGTGACTAATATATAAAATGAGTAATATGCAAAAATGTGTAAAAAAAGAATGTGTAAAATGACTAAAGCATATTTGAAAGATGGGCTTCTGCGTAAGCCAAAAATGCTCTCACCTTCAATGTCTGTCAATGCAAAAATAAAGAATTGATAAAAAAAAAAAAGAATGTGTAAAATGTTGGGTACTGTGCCTTTAAGAGCTGCAAAACAAAACAGAAGTGAAGGTATAAATGCTAGGTGACATATAAATGCAGTGAATATGTGCCAAACTAAAAACTAAAAGACGTGCCCATAAAAATGTATGGAGACAGTATGTGTCAAAAAGATGAAGGAAAAAAAATATATATCTATCTATATATGGTGTGCACGGTGAATAGCGCTTCCACTGGGTGATGAACGAGATATAAATAGAAGTAACAGTGTTGCAAATAATAGCAAAAAGGAAACAAAGTGACTGGGACTGTGTATTGAAGCAGTCAATCAATTGCTATAGACTGAAGTAAGCTAAAACAAACTGGATACAGTAAAAAAACAGTTTATTATAAACAACAATAAAAATTACTTAACCCCTTAAGGACACATGACGGAAATATTCCGTCATGATTCCCTTTTATTCCAGAAGTTGTGTCCTTAAGGGGTTAAATAGGTATAAAAACCAAAAAATATAGGTCAGGAACAGTAGATGATATTGTTACCAGTCTTATGAAAGTGGACAGATGTTGTAAACCCTCGGACTGGCTGAGGATGGATGTGGATTGAATAATGCCAATTCGTCTCCTGAATGCAGCTGCCGGTGAGGACGGCGTGCGTCTGGATGTGCGCCCCAACAAGACCTCACTCCGGGGGACGGACAGAGCAGACAGTCTCGGTAGACGTATTCTCCAAGGGGTCTGTATGCAAAGCAATCTTTCTGCTGGTTCAATCAGTCTGTATCCTGCCTCATTCGTCTAACGCGTTTCGTAGGTGGAGCCCTACTTCATCAGAGACATGTATTGGTCTAGTACTTCAGTCTATCTTTATATACAGATGTTTAAATGGCTAATAAAAATCATAGGAATTACTAATAAAGGTTCTTCAATCATAATACAGACATTGAGTGTATAAATGTTCAATAAGCAATCAATAATGGATGTCAAATATAAATCTATAAATACATATTAGTAATATTATACATCAATAGAGTGCAAATACAGAATTAGAATAGATGAATGACTGTTTGGTGTGTGAGTACATACATCTGGCTAATCCTCACAGTTAGCATCTACCACAGTATTCTAATGGTAATGAATAGTTGAGGTAAATGTAGTTAACCCTTTCAAGAGATGTGGATATATATCACTGGTATTTCTAAAATGGACAGGAGACTTCTTAAAGTGATCAAACTCAATAAAAAATATCAGATAAAATATCATACATTAAAAATGTTCACATCCTAGAAATGTTACATTTATGCATGGACTAACATATAGTTAGATACTAGATGTCAAACTTAGATAAAAGTAGATAAATGATCATTAAATTATTTTTATGGATTGATGATTTAATTACTATTATGGCTTGATGATTTAGCTGGTGGTCCGTTCTAGGAGAGAGCACAAACATTAGTATGTTCATCAAAGGAAAAATCCATCAGAAGATATATCGAAAAATTATTATATCAAAAAATATATTTAACAGAAAATATCCATCGAAGGATATACAGGGAGTGCAGAATTATTAGGCAAATTAGTATTTTGACCACATCATCCTCTTTATGCATGTTGTCTTACTCCAAGCTGTATAGGCTCGAAAGCCTACTACCAATTAAGCATATTAGGTGATGTGCATCTCTGTAATGAGAAGGGGTGTGGTCTAATGACATCAACACCCTATATCAGGTGTGCATAATTATTAGGCAACTTCCTTTCCTTTGGCAAAATGGGTCAAAAGAAGGACTTGACAGGCTCAGAAAAGTCAAAAATAGTGAGATATCTTGCAGAGGGATGCAGCACTCTTAAAATTGCAAAGCTTCTGAAGCGTGATCATCGAACAATCAAGCGTTTCATTCAAAATAGTCAACAGGGTCGCAAGAAGCGTGTGGAAAAACCAAGGCGCAAAATAACTGCCCATGAACTGAGAAAAGTCAAGCGTGCAGCTGCCACGATGCCACTTGCCACCAGTTTGGCCATATTTCAGAGCTGCAACATCACTGGAGTGCCCAAAAGCACAAGGTGTGCAATACTCAGAGACATGGCCAAGGTAAGAAAGGCTGAAAGACGACCACCACTGAACAAGACACACAAGCTGAAACGTCAAGACTGGGCCAAGAAATATCTCAAGACTGATTTTTCTAAGGTTTTATGGACTGATGAAATGAGAGTGAGTCTTGATGGGCCAGATGGATGGGCCCGTGGCTGGATTGGTAAAGGGCAGAGAGCTCCAATCCGACTCAGACGCCAGCAAGATGGAGGTGG